CCGAGCTGTCCACAAAGAGGGCCCGTGCGTACGTCCCTGGAGAGTCGAGGTGTTGCAAGATGTAATGCAGTGCCATGGTCACCACATCATCCACTGACCTGTTTGCCCGGTAGGCAAACTGCAGGGGGTCCAGCAGGGGGTCAACAATGTCCATCAGGTGGGCCGACAGCAGTCTTTCAAAGAACTCCTTAACTACAGATGTCAGGGCGACAGGTCTGTAGTCATTCAGTCCACTGAGGTTTTCTTGGGGACTGGGATGATGATGGAGCGTTTGAAGCAGGAGGGGACTTCACACAGCTCCAATGACCTGTTGAAGATGAATGTGAAGATGGGAGCCAGCTGATCAGCACACACTTTCAAGCAGGAGGGGGTCACACCATCTGGGCCTGGTGCCTTTCTGATCTTTTGTCTTTTGTTAGAGGTGGGGGGCTGGAGGGGAAGGTGGTGATTGTTGGTGGAGCAGCTGCTGGGTCTGAGGTGGGGAGGGCAAGGGGGGAGTGTTGATTGTCAAACCTGCAGTAGAATACATTCAGGTCGTCTGCCAGTTGACGGCCCTCCACAGCAGGGGGGGAGGGTTTTCTATAGCCAGTGATGGTTTTCAGGCTTTCAGCTTTTCAGAATAGCTCCTCTTTGCTGCTCTGATCTCCCTTGTCAGTGTGTTACTGGCCTAGCTGTACAGAGTCCTGTCCCCACACCTGTAAGCCTCCTCTTTGGCACAACGAAGATACTTGAGTCTGACTGTAAACCAGGGCTTGTTGTTGTTGTATGTGCAGAAGGTCTTTTTTGGGCACACACACACATCCTCACAAAACCTGATATAAGCTATCACAGTGTCAGTGAGCTCATCCAGGTCTGTAGCTGCAGTCTCAAATACACTCCAGTCTGTGCAGTCAAAGCAGGCCTGTAGCTCTGACTTAGCCTCCTCAATCCAGCTCTTCACTGTTTTGACCACAGGCTTCACAGCTTTAAAGTTCTGCCTGTAGGTTGGAATCAGAGACGTGCGGTGAGGTTGACAGCTGGTGAGGCACTGACTCTTTTACAATCAGATTTACAAATACAAATGAACCGTTAACAAATTGTCTGTTAACAGACAATGCGTTGTTTTATATCTCATATCAGCATTCTTCACACAAACGTGTCCCATATTTAATTTGAGGTTAAAATTTATTCCAATTGAGCTTATTTCTAACTAGAAATAATAAAAGATTATGGTCTTACCTTTACTTGTACACGACATCCATTTGTCAGCTGGTATGTATTACAAACCCTTTTACCGTTCGAATCCATATTAAAAAAAATGTTTTCAATAAAGAAGATCCTTCTGGACAAAAATGTCCAGACTGTCAAAAATGTGTTGATTGAAAGTCCAGATTTGCGAATTTTCTCAACTTGGAAATGTAATCTTCCATTTTGATAAGGCGGATTGTAAAAGAAATATAAACAAGCACGAAGAAGATTGTAGGTAGCATAAGAAAGGTAGCGCAAGAATCTGTGGGCTCACTAGCGCCCTCTGCCTTGAGGCAGGCGTACTGTTTGCCTCACTGAGTAACTTTTTTTTACTGGGTTTTATGGTTAATCTGCGAGCCTAAACACGTTACAGAACTAAATTTTATACATTATCCAGATTATGATAGGCAGAGCATATAATCAGAGTGTTTCAAAGCATTTTATTTGCGATATATAGAGGGACAGCGACACACTATTTGCATTGCATACAGTTTGTGAGGATTGCACGATTCACCGAGAGGCACAGCAAAGTGCTGCCTCATCGCGCATCTCCTCCATGTATTTGAATGGGACATATGGAAATTCTGCTATTCTTTATTGAAAAAAATCGGATTCAACATCGGATTCGAACAGCAAAAGGGGCTACAACACACACCAGTCGACAAATATTAACATTTATTATATTTTATGGTTAACTTTTTTTCTTTTCAAGATTGACAGGGGAGGCTCTGCCTCACCTGCCTCCCCTGACCACATGTCACTGGTTGGAATAAGATGGACCATACAGTGATCTGAAAGTCCGAGGGCTGCACGGGATAGAGGATTTATATGACTTTGTAAAGAGGTGTAATTTTGAAATTCTACATCAGAATATTTTTATAATTTCTGAGTCACATTCTGAAGTAATCTAGTATTATACTGACGTGAAATAGTCCTGTGAAAAAAGAAATTTTCCTTCTAATATCAATCTGACCTCAGGACTAATAAAGACTTAATTTATCTATTCCTTCCTTTACAAGAGTCGCACTGACTGAGTGAATGAAAGTGAAAACACGCTCACCGGAAGTTCGCCATTATTCAAAAAACTGTTATGTGGAGGACGCAGACAAGACTGGAGACTGGTTTGCAGCAGGAATCTCATTCAAGCTTAGTCACATTCCCCTGTTAGTTTTATTACCATCATTGAGGCTTTACAGACCTATTCTATGCAGCTTTAATCGTCCCTACGTTAATCGTGCCAGAGAAAAAAAATAAGAAATATTAGAAATTAAAGCGTTTCATCTCAAGTCAACAGTCAAATCCATATTCCTTATGTTTTATACAAAAGCTTACGAATAAGAAGCCATGTCACAGAAAAACAAAAATTTGAAATTGAATTATGCTGAGTCACCGGTGTTAGTTTGAGTCTTTGTGTTAGTTTCGTTAAATTCTTTCGTCTTTTACAGACCTATTCTGTGTAGCTTTACTTCTGGTTTCCAAACGATATCCAGCAGTCTGCGCTGACGATCGATCTCTTCCTCGTACTCGGCGATAATTTTTTCAAAGCCGCCGAATATCTCTTCAGCAACAGCAGTTAGTCGCTCGGTGACGAACTCTCTCAGACGCTGAACTGAAGACATTGTTGATTTGTTACAGACTAAACATACATCTGCGATTTAAATAAAAATAAAAAAATAAAAAGAAAAGGTAATCGTCTTCAACTAACCCCATTCATCTACAAAGCTATCGCTGCTGGCGCTGTTTACTTCCGTCGGATGTCACACTGTGAAGTTCCACTTGGAAACGTGGGTCGGACTTTGTTCCGCTTTAAACACACAAGGCATTTTTGTAGCAGCAATTCAAGCTGAAACTTTATTTTTAACTTAGCCGTGCTGCTCCTTCTTCCGTCCATATTCTCTCTTGTATGAGGCATCACCGGCTCGCCTGGTATGCAACCTGGCTTAGCCTTCGTGAAACGTATTCAGCCCGGATGCACTTTGAAGACTAGGTCAAGTCTCCATTCGTCCTACCTTGTATTTCACAATTGCTTTTGTGATATAGCCCTCTGATCAAGACTGTGTTTACATTTGTTATTGATATTAAAATATTTCACTTGTAAAACGTCAGTGATGACTGAGACAACGTATCAGAAACAATATAAATCTCTACCAAACATCAATTGTTGTGTCTTGATGACTTACACTAAACCAACATGACAGCTTCATTTGGAAGTTTAATGCTCATGAAAATCAAGGATCAAAGATTTTTATTGTCAATTCACTATATGTGCAGGACACACAGGAAAACGAAATATCGTTTCTCTCTAACCTAGTATTGAGTGCGATATCATTTAGGAACTGAAATAGAATAAAAGTAGAATAAAAATACATCTGCCTCTGTATGCACCTCCTCCCCTGCGGTCACCGCCAGGACGCTATTCACTCTGGAATTATACAGCAGAAACTTATTCTCCCCCGTGAGCGGTTAACACAGATGCAGTAGACTTCTTTCTGTTTATTAAAATGGCTTTCTGCATGTTTGGCGTATTCTAAAGCGTCATTAAGTGAGCGATGATTTACCTGATTTACCTGTTGATTTGGGGCAGACAGCCTCTCAAAAGAGTATTTTTAAGTTGTTGTACTTCAATCAGAGGCAGTGTATCGGCCACATACGCTCTTGGCTGTAAAACTGGTTGTCATTCAAAGCTAAAGACAACATTCATGTGGTTGCTACAATATACAGCGGCACTACAGTTTTGTTATGATTTAGGGCAGGCAACGACCCATACGGAGATTCTTCCTGGACATATTTCATTTGTATGTTTTATGGGTATTTTGGTCTGAAAATATTCTATTGGATATATGTTCTTTTGGATGGTGCGGCATCCGAGTCAGGTGGAGCAGAAGGTCCTGGACTCACCTCCTCAATACTCGGATACACGTTTTCATAATTAGGTGGGACAAGGTAGTGGATCGATGGTCGGACTGGGATTACGTGTTTCGGCAGGAGATTCAGGTCTAGGTCTCGCATATTACCAATCATTTTTTTTCCCCCAACAACTGCCCACTTTGAGGCTCTACATTTAGGTAGCAGGGCATCTCAGCTGAAGTGGGGCTGGTCCTGAAGTTTAAGCTGGAGTTTTTTTGTCTTAAAGAAAAATGATATAATTCTTTTATCCTTTCTTTCACACTTTACTTTCCCTAATCACCATGGCCCTCCCCACAAGTCAAGAACACTGTTATGGTCGCTCGAACACGGAGATGAGCGAGCGGAAAAAAGACGGACCCAGGTGGCTGGCTTCGGTGCAAGCAGTGATATTTATTTACAGTGAACAAAGGTGCAATAATCAGAGAATGGATGTAGGTGGTGTTATCCGGGTGTCGATCTGCGGCAGAAGAAAAACAGTCAGTGGAATGGTGGATGATGATGGGCTGGGCTGCGGACGCTGGGATCACTCCTGGGCTGGTCGAGGCAAATGCGATGATGACTGAAGAGACAGGAGCATAGACAGACAGAGAAAGGAGACTGGTAGTGCTGAGTAGATCCAGAGGAGAGGTCTGTAAAGGAGGAACAAAACAAAAGAACAGCGCAAAAAAAAGGTAACACGGAATGAACAAATAGACTTAATAACTGGCAAAACGTAGCACAAAGAAGATAACGACATAGGAACCTGAAGACTAAGAGAACTGAACTGGCAGGGGAGTGACCAGGGTATAAGTAGGGAGGAAACTGATAAGGTGCAGCTGGTGATAATCAAGGGAAGTGGGGCAGGTGTGTTAGATAGTGTAATCAGGAAAGCAAAACTAGAGCGAGGAAAAGGAAGAGAAGAAGGTGCAGCCGGGCAAACCTGACAAACACTTAACATGTTTGGAATATAGGAGTGATATCTGAACTGTAATAGGAATAATGGTGATACAACAAGGTCAATCTTTACATGCATAACATACTGAAAATGTCTAATCATGCAAGGCTGCTTTAATAACATTTACTAAGATCTACTTCATCATTGAAACGTTCAATTTTACAGTCTTACACAGTAGCAGAATCCAACAGATTTAACTACAGAAATCACAGTCATGAAGCCATTACAATGTGTTGGTGTAAAGGGTGTAAAGTTGCTCCACCGTACATTCACAGAGGAGATTCAGTGGGCGTTAGTATTTATCAAGTGCCTCAGAGTAGGAAATCACTCCTGTCTGACCAGAAATGATGTAGAAAACACAGCAAAAAGCAAATCATGTCTAATAATTTGTAGGAGGAAAAACAGCTGAATCACAGCATACATATACATTCAAGTAAACTTCTCAGTCATGTACAGACAATTCTGACCACCTTACAAATTGATAATAATGTGAAGGCAAGATGAATTATTGACTTTATCATTACCAAGTATTAAGAAATCCAACTAGAGGTGTAACTACTATATGAGACCAATTTTTTTTTTTTTTTCATTCAAATTGCTCACCTTGTAGATGCACCTACTTTATCTTCTATCGCTGGTATGAGCCACTAGGGGAAGCTCTCACCCAACTCAGTGCAGCTTGGTGTCAAACTGAGACCCTTCTCTCCTCTTTCATTTATTTATTTATTTTTCTTTTATTGAAACAAAGTAACACATTAACAAAACAGTACCGAACATGGGAGACAAGACAGCAGTTACATGACATTACAAAAGGATGTAGAGTGTTTAATGAGGTTGTAGTGTGTGAAGTGTGGGTATTTCCAACTTATGGAGTCTATGAAATGCAAGAAAGGGAAAAGGAGGGGAAGCAAATAAATAAATAAAAAAATTACCAATAATAATGATGATAACAGTACTACTAATAAAATCAGCTTGTTACATTTCTAGAGGTTGGTGGGAATGTGCGTGGCCTCAACCCCAGGTATTTGATTCAAGTTGAAATGTGGGTTCTATGTGTCATAAAAAGCAGATAAACTATTCATGGGAGTGGAAGCCATTTTCTCTAATGTGATGTATTCTGTCAGAAGGTTGGTCCAGTAGTTTATGTGTAGTGATTTTTTTGATTTCCAATTTTGTATGAGACCAATTTCTCTCTCACCATAACTTGACATACAGACTTGATTTACAGCTCAGCTAACTGGTAGCTAGTGGAGGTAGAAAGTGTTCTCTGTAATTATTATCTGAACTACTGTGGTGTTATTGGTAACTTCATGTCAGTCAACAGTCTTACAAAGCACAGCATAACTCTGTAACATTTGGCACCTGTGAAGTTTATGGAGAGTGCCGCTCGTCCATAATAAACCTTTGCTGGTGTAATTCAGTCATAAACTTCTGAGCATTACATAGGACTAAGGAGTATCTTCACTTGTGAGCGAGGCAGGACCAGGTTTTCTCTCAGTGTCATATAAACAGTCACTACACACGCAAAACTATGAATTAACTCTTGTATAATTTATTCATACAGAATTACAGAATGTCCACGAGTCCATAGTGTGATGAGGTAGATCTTGGCCGAAGGCCAATTTATGACTTAAACCCATGTGCCATTAAAGCTGGAGGGCGATTAGTTTAGCTGGTCTCAGCTATGCACAGAGAGGAGCCTCAAGTGAGGGGGAGATGGTGCTTTGGTAACAGGTGTGTAGTGTAGTGTGTAGTAGTCCTGATGGCCCATTTCTTTAGCAAGTCAAAGGGTGATATGTCCAGGAACATTTGTTTGCCACTGATATGTGATATGATATGATTCTCACCAGATCAGCAAACTCTCCACTTTCTCTTTGAGCCTGTGGAAAACAGGCATGCAACCTCTTGGGGTGGAAGGTGAGGTTATGAAAATCCACAAGAAGCTGCTGTCCTGACAGGAGAAAGTCATTTCACTCAGGGTAATCAAAAGGGTAACTGTGTTACCTCCAAATAAAGCCACACTTGACTGAGGTCCTAATTTCTTTGCTGCTTTGGGAAGGTAAGTCTGAAAGCTCTCCCACATTTTGTAATAATATGGCTTTTCAAGAGTGTTGTCATGTAACTCCTTTCCCACAAGTGCCGCGGGAGTATGGTTTTTCACCTGTGTGGGTTCTCATGGGGACAAACAAGTGACCCCTGTGTGTGAAACAGCTCCCACATGTTTTTGCTAAGATACCGTTTCTCCTCTGTGTGTGTTCTTAAATGAATATTCAAAGCTAATGACCGCATGAATCCTTTCCCACAGGTCTTGCAAACATATGGCCTCTCACCTGTGTGGGTTCTCATGTGGATTGACAAGTCCTGCTGTTGCCTGCAACACTTCCCACATCTTTTACAAGAATACAGCTTCTCCCCTGTGTGGATTTTTAAATGAACATTCAAAGCTGATGACTGTTTGAATCTCTTCCCACAGGTCTTGCAAACATACGGCCTCTCACCTGTGTGGACTCTCATGTGGACCAAAAGCTCACTCTTACATCTGAAAATTTTCTTACATGTTTCACAACACTTTAAAGACTTTCTATCTGTGCAATGATCAGAGTGAGTCTCTGACAGAGGAGAGTTGTCTGCACTGTTACTGTGACTTGTGTCTTTGTGATGTCTCCTGTTTGGCTTTGGCTCTGCATTCCTAACTGATCCCGAGTCTCCTTGCTGGCTTCCTTCCTGATCCTGGCTCTCAGCTACAGCAGAGCTGTGAGAGAGGAGCTGCTGGTCATTGGTTGGTTCTGCTTCACTGTGGTAAGTAGGAGTCAACATTAAGGGATCAGTCTCCTGCTTCAGTCCAAGCTGCTCTCCCTCCTGACTGCTACAGAGTTCCTCCTGTTTCTCTGTCCTCCTCCTTACAGACATGTTGCTGTGGCAGCTCTGGAGGGACAAAGGAAGTAACAGGTCACTGATGTGATGAGGAAAAAAACAAAAGTAATGTTTCTTATTCACCTGCTTCATGGTGGAATTTTTACAGTCTATCTTAAAAGTTTCTGTAGAGGACATTGTTCATGTTGTCATTTTCAAGCTGTTTCAAGGTAATAAATTCAATTAACAGCAACTTCCTCTTTAGACTTCAGAATGAAAGTAGGTTTTGTAATTAATTTATATATTAAAAGATTGATGCTGTAACTTCAAATCGGTCACAGTAGCATGTTCAGAAGGTTATCCCAAAAAATGCAAGAGGGGAAAAACTGAAGAATTTCACAATTAAAGCCCTCAAAATGCCACATAAACATTATATTAATTGTTCAAATTGTTCTAACAGGTAGTTTTTCTGATAAAGTTCACCCCATATCCTATATAATGTGAAAATATTAGTCTGTGAAAACAGGAAGTCTCATTTTAGTATCAATCTGAGCTTATAGTTAACATAGCATTTATGACATTGTCCATCCATCCATCCATTTTCCTCCGCTTATCCGGAACAGGGTCGTGGGGGCAGCAGTCTAAGCAAAGATGCCCAGACTTCCCTCTCTCCAGACACTTCCTCCAGCTCCTCCGTTTTTTTTGGCGTTCCCAGGCCAGCCGAGAGACATAGTCCCTCCAGCGTGTCCTGGGTCTTCCCCGGGGCCTCCTCCCGGTGGGACATGCCTGGAACACCTCCCTAGGAAGGCGCCCAGGAGGCATCCGAAACAGATGCCCGAGCCACCTCAGCTGGCTCCTCTCGATGTGGAGGAGCAGCAGTTCTACTCTGAGCTCCTCCCGGGTGACCGAGCTCCTCACCCTATCTCTAAGGGTGCGCCTAGCATGACATTGTAGGGGGCTTAAATTTGAAATTCTGGATCAAATTGTTCTGATAATTTTGGAGTCAAGCTCTGAGGTGGCCTGCTATGATTCTCATGTGAAATAGTCCTGTGAAAACAGAAACTTCCTTTTACTATCAAGCTGAACTAATTAATAGAGCATTTATATGACTTTGTAGAGAGATGTAATTTTGAAATTCTACATCAGAATATTTTGATAATTTCTGAGTCACATTCTGAAGTAATCTAGTATTATACCGATGTGAAATAGTCCTGTGAAAAAAGGCATTTTCCTTCGAATATCAATCTGCCCTCAGAACTAATAAAGACTTCATCAATTCCTTCCTTTACAAGAGTCGCACTGACTGAGTGAGTGAATGAAAGTGAAAACACGCTCACCGGAAGTTCGCCTTTATTCAAAAATCAGTTCTTAATGTGGAGGACGCAGACAAGAGGCATCGTGGAGACTGGTTTGCATCATTTAAGCTTAGTCATGTTTCCCCGTTGGTCTTATTACCATCATTCAAGCTTTACAGACCTATTCTATGCAGCTTTACTCGTTCTTACGTTAATCATGCCACAGGAAAAAAATAAAGAAATATTAGAAATTAAATTAAAAGCGGTTCATCTAAAGTTAATAGTCAAATCCATGTTCCTTATGTTTTATACAGAAGCTTATGAATAAGAATTCACGTCACAGAAAAACAGAAATTTGAACAACAAGCTAAATTATGCTGCGTCACCGGTATTAGTTTCGTTAAGATCTTTCGAGTTTTACAGACCTATTCTGTGTAGCTTTACTTCTGGTTTCCAAACGATATCCAGCAGTCTGCGCTGACGATCGATCTCTTCTTCGTACTGGACGATAATTTTTTCAAAGCCGCCGAATATTTCTTCAGCAGCAGCAGTTAGTCGCTCGGTGACGAACTCTCTCAGATACTGAACTGAAGACATTGTTGATTTGTTACAAACTAAATCTACATCTGCGATATAAAAAAAAAAGACAACCGTCTTCAACTAACCCCACATATCTACAAAGCTATCACTGCTAGAGCTGTTTACTTCCTCCGGATGTCACACTGTGAGGTTCCGCTTGGAAACGTAGGTCGGACTTTGTTCCGCTTTCGACATACAAGGCATTTTTATAGCAGCAATTCCCAAGCTGAAACTTTATTTTTAACTTAGCCGTGCTGCTCCTTATTCCTTCCATATTCTCTCTTGTATGAGGCATCACCAGCTCGCCTGGTATGCAACCTGGCTTAGCCTTCATGAAACGTATTCAGCACGTGTACTGACCTCGTTCTGCGTGACTCGGTAGAACTAGACAGTCAGTTAACGTGAACTTGGAATACAAAAAAATTCAAACAAGGCTTGCTTTTCTTGTTATTCTTTTAGTCGTTTCTCAAGTTATGATTTTCTCTTAAAACTGTAACAAATACAAAAAAATATAGTACATTAATTAAACAAAAATGAACCCCGCTATTACACGCACACAATCCAGACACTAATTGGAAATATTATTTTACGCACAAACGTCTACATGTCTATTTTACATATTAGAACACTTTAAATCAATAATACTGTATTTACTTAAAGGCAAATAATGTCCAAAACTCAAATGTGAAGATGACATCCGTCCTACAGCAAACTAACATGAGCTCAATAGCAAAAACGAAAGTGAAACTTCAGCAAGGAACAAACCTATGGAACGACCACAAGGTGGCAGCTTACTCACATCCCTTTACAAAAAAAAACTATCATAATGTAAAAAAAACTAAAACCACATTTCAATGAAAGGTAGCACACTCCCCGCTTGGTATATTATTATTATGCCACTATACATCCACTAATCTTACTCAGAGAGCAGGACAACAATCTCTGAGATCGGTCTCACTGTTTTGACCTCTACTTTGCGATCCGTTTCATCAGCGTCTGGTAGAGTCCTGACAACTATTCCCACAGGCCACACATTTCTATGGGCTTGGCAGTCTTTAATAAGCACAATGTCCCCCACTGTAATGTTCGGCCTTTCTTCAGTCCACTTCCTGCGGTTCTGAAGAGTAGACAGGTACTCTGTCTTCCATCTTTTCCAAAAGGTGTCCGCAAGACACTGTACCTGTTTCCATTGTTTTCCATGCAACTCCGCCATTTGGAAGCCCCCAGATGGAGCAGAGACTGCACTCATCTTTTGCGTAAGTAGCATCGCTGGTGTGAGGACTGTAGGCATATCTGGATCGGTAGACACAGGTACCAGTGGTCTTGCATTCATGATGGCCATCACTTCAGCCATAAGGGTGCTCAAGACTTCATGAGTAAGCCGCATGTGAATTGACTGAACCAGCATGGCATCCAGGATGCGTCTAGCGACACCGATGAGTCTTTCCCAAGAACCTCCCATATGCGAAGCATGCGGAGGGTTGAACACCCATGTGCATCCTTTGCTCTGGAGGTAGGCCTCAACAGTTGAGTGCTCAGCTTCGATGCCCAGCTCTTTGCAGGCGCCAACAAAGTTAGTTCCTCTGTCAGAGCGGAGGAGCTTGGCCGGCCCACGTACTGCATAAAACCTTCTGAGAGCATTGATGAAGCTGTCAGTTGACAGGGATTCGATCAGCTCGATATGTACGGCCCTGGTACACATACAAGTGAACAGCACCGCCCACCGTTTACTTTCTGCGCACCCTCCTCTGGTGCGGCGTGCCACAACATTCCACGGCCCAAAAACATCGAGGCCCACACTAGTGAAAGGAGGCGCTGGGGTGACTCTGTCAACGGGTAAGTCTGCCATTTTCTGATACTGTAGTCTTCCTCGTACTTTACGACAGATAACACACTTGTAGATGACGGAAGAAACCAGACGTTTGCCACCAATGATCCAATATCCTGCTGCTCGGATTGCACCCTCTGTTATGTGACGTCCCTGATGAGCCACTTGTTCATGATAGTACCTCACTAAGAGTGTAGCAATGTGATGAGTGCATGGGACGATGATAGGGTGGCACTCATCTCTTGGAAGGTCCGAAGCAGGTATACGGCCTCCCACTCGGATCAAACCGTCTTCATCTACCATGGGGTTGAACCTTTTGAGTGGACTCTGTTTGGGAAGCGCTTTGCCTTCCTTGAAGCACTTAAGTTCCGCTTTGAATAGATCACACTGAATAGAGTGCATTATCACGCACTTGGCTCGTGCAAGCTGATCTGTGGTAGGCATATCTTTGAAGAGACTCCATCCTCTTCTTTTGGCAGTTCCATGATCTTGCTTCCAAGATGCAGCAGTGTGAACGAGTTTGGCTACAGCATTGCGGAGTTTACTCCAGTTTGAAAACCTTTCAAAGCGTTGTGAGCCCAACTGAGTGTTTGATATTGACGTGGCTGAGGATATGATCTCAGGTCGGATCTCAGTGTCGACTTCTGGCTCAATAAGAGTGAATGTATTGGGCTCAGATGTTTTCTCATAAGTCAAAAAACTGGGACCTGTTAGCCAACTGCATTGCTGTAGGTGTGCTGCTGGCATGAACCTAGTGGCGTGGTCTGCAGGATTTTCTTCTGTGGAGACATAAGCCCACTGTTTCGCTTGAGTGGACTGTCTGATACGGGTCACTCTGTTAGACACATATACGTAAAATCTTTTAGTGGTGTTGTAGATGTAGCCAAGAACGATCTTACTATCGGTAAAAAACCTTACAGCATCAACATGGGTGTCTATCTCATATTTTATGAACTCATACAGTTCGACGGCTAGTACAGCTGCACACAGCTCTAGACGTGGGACGGTGTGGGCAGGCCGTGGAGCCAGTTTGGATTTTCCCATGATAAAACCGACATGACATTTCCCATTACTGTCAACTGCTCTCACATAGGCTACCGCTGCTATTGCTGTTGTGGAGGCATCTGAGAAAATGCACAACTCTGTGTTCTGTACTGAAGACAGTGAAACAGAAATGTAACACCTCTTTATGTGCAGATCTTCCAAAGCCGTAAGAGAATCTTTCCAGACGTTCCATCTTTCTTCCTTTTCTGGTGGAAATGGTGTGTCCCATCCATGTTCTCCTGCTGACAGTTCGCGTACTAACGCTTTCCCTTGCATGATCACTGGTGCAGCGAAACCCAGAGGATCGTATAAGCTATTGACTGTGGACAAGACGCCTCTGCGAGTGTATGGTTTCTTTTCGTGGGATACCTTGAACGTAAAACTATCTGTTTCTAGGTTCCATAAGAGACCCAAACTTCTTTGAAGAGGCAGGGGATCGACACCAAGTTCCACATGCTTCAGGTCTTTTGCACGATCTTCCTCGGGTAAAGCTTCCATCACCGATTCGCTGTTAGACGCTACTTTATGTAGCTTTAGATTGGAGTCTGCCAGCATCTGCTGGGTTCTGGACAGGAGGTCTATTGCTCTCTCAGGTGTGGGCAATGAGATGAGCCCATCATCAACATAGAACTGTCTCTCCACAAACTGTTGTGCATCTACGCCGTATTCTGCTTTGCCCTTTTCTGCGGCTTTCCTCATACAGTATATAGCGACAGCGGGTGATGGTGCATTCCCGAACACATGCACTTTCATCCTGTACTCTACTATTTTCTTGCTAAGATCATTGTCTTCATACCAGAGGTAGCGGAGATAGTCTCTGTGGTCTTCTCTGACTACAAAACAATAAAACATTTGTTGCACGTCTGCGGTTAGGGCGACAAGCTCTCTACGAAACCTCAGGAGGACTCCACACAGGGTGTTATTCAAGTCTGGACCGCTGAGGAGTACATCGTTGAGGCTTACACCCTCGTGCTCAGCACTGGAGTCGAACACAACTCTTATTTGTCCGGGTTTTCGTGGATGATAAACTCCAAACATGGGGAGATACCAATGTTCTCTGTCTCCCTCTAGAGGTGGTGCAAGCTCAGCCTGGTCTTTATCCAGCATTCCCTGCATAAAGTCAGTGAATTGCTTCCTCATTTCTGGTTTTCTCTCTAGTGTTTTACGGAGTGTGTTCAGGCGTTTTGCCGCTTGTACTTTGTTGCTGGGAAGATGAGGTCTTGGTGAGCGAAACGGAAGGGGTGCTACCCAGCTGCACTCCTCGTCCTGGTAGACCTCTCTATCCATGATAGACAGGAACTCTTTATC